ATAATCGAGCGCGCCGCGAAGCCCTTCGTTCTCGAACGATGCTCCTCCTCCTCCTGCACCGCCCATGCCTGGCTTTGGCAATGCAGCACCTCCTGCACCCCCAATGCCTGGCTTTAATGGCGCAGCCCCTCCTCCTCCTCCTCCTCCTCCTCCTCCCGGAATGGGCTTCAAAGGCGGAGCTCCTCCTCCACCGCCTCCAGGCGCACCTCCTCTTCCCGGCAAGCTCAATGGCGGCTTCCTTCCCAAACAAATGCATACCAGTCCGAATGGTGGCATCGGTGCAGTTGCTCCTCGTCCGAAGAAGAAGCTCAAGGCCCTGCACTGGGAGAAGGTTGACTCACCTGAAGTCACGTTGTGGTCGCTCCACACACCCACCTTCGAGCAGAAAGAAGAGAAGTATCAGGAGCTGTCAAGAAAGGGTATATTGGACGAAATCGAGAAATTGTTCATGGCCAAGGAGATCAAGCAAATTGGCAAGGGCGGCGGCAAGGTCAAGACTGACAAGAAGCAAGTCATCAGCCGCGATCTCATGCATATGATGCAGATCAGTCTTGCCAAGTTTTCGAATGTGGAAGCAGACGACATCGTACGCATGGTCATTCACTGCGACCGCGAGATCTTGGAAAACAGCACAGTCATGGAGTTCCTGCAGCATGAGCATCTTTGCACTATTCCAGACAATGTGGCCAAACTGATGGCACCCTACTCGAAAGACTGGACCGGGCCTGATGCTATTAAGAGTACGCGTGAGCAAGATCCGGCCGAGTTGACTAGAGAGGATCAAATCTATCTCTACACGGCTTATGAGCTACATCACTACTGGAAGGCGAGGATGAGGGCTCTTGCTTTGACCAAGAATTTCGAGCCCGAGTACGACGAGATCTCTGGAAAGCTCAAGCAAGTCGTTCAGGTATCGGAGAGCTTGCGCGATTCCGTGAAGCTTATGCCGGTCTTTGGTCTCATCTTGGACATTGGAAACTACATGAACGATTCTAATAAACAAGCTGTCGGTTTCAAGCTCTCCTCGCTTGCTCGTCTTGGTATGGTCAAGGACAAGGATAACGAGTCGACACTTCTGGATTACGTTGAGCGCGTTGTCAGGAAACAATACCCACAATACGAAGGCTTCTACGAGGACATCGCTGGAGTGCTTACAACACAGAAGATCAATATTGAACAGCTTCAAGGCGATGCAAAGAAGTACATCGACAACATCAACAATGTGCAGTCCTCTCTCGACTCTGGCAATCTCAGTGACCCCAAGCGGTTCCATCCAGAGGATCGCGTCAGCCAGGTTGTGCAAAGATCAATGAAGGAAGCTAGAAGGAAAGCCGAACAGATGGCGCTCTATCTTGACGAGATGAATCGGGTGTACGACGACATTCTCACATACTTCGGCGATGACAACAAGGACGAGAACGCGAGGCGAGAGTTCTTCAGCAAGCTCGCCAACTTCTTGCAGGAGTACAAGGTAAGTTCACCAGCTACAAAATGCAAACACCGCAATGACTCAGATACTGACCGATTGCTAGAAATCTCATGAGAAGAATCTTGTACTTGAAGAAGCCTGGCGCCGCAACGAGGAGAACATGCGCCGCAAGCAGATGAAGTCTGGTCATGGTTCATCATCTGCGTCGGTTAGCGATGCTCCTGCCAGTCCTGTGTCAACAGGTGCCATGGACGATCTGCTCCAGAAGCTCCGTGCTGCCGCACCTGTCGCCAAAGACACCAGAGAACGAAGACGACGAGCACGCCTGAAGGATCGACACCAAGTGCGCGTCGCTTCGGGTCAAAAGATCCCGGAGACGGGCGAGAATATGGTGACCGATGAGAACGGCCTGCTTAGTCCTGCCAAGACGAACGACTCTGCCGAGAGCAATGAGCCAGTTGAAGGCGGTGTCTCGGAAGGAGAGGACATCGCCGATCGAGCAGCCTCCATGCTCCAAGGTCTACGCGGCGACGCAGAACCTGCTGAGCCTGGATCTGAAAGCCTCCGAGTGCGAAGGCGCAGGGAAAGCGCCGACGATGAACGAGCCCGAAGACGTGCAAGGAGACGTGGTGCTGGGGGTAGCACCGACACGACTGCCACTACAATTACGGAAGAAGGCGACGAAGCTGCCGCCGACAAAGTTGGCGAGAGAACAATTCTGGAAGAGGACGAGGAGAAATCTGGTGGTAGTGACTGCAAACGCGATTCAGGAGAGCCATCTCTACCGACACCTACGACCGTCGTTGTCCCACCCAGTCCGACGGCAAGCGAGCATAGTCCTGAGAAAGCGGAATAGCGTGTTGCTTTGATGGATGCTTTGAATCGTGTCGCCAGATCGCCGATTGTTGATTGCGAGCATAGGAAATGGGAAGTTGGATGAGATGAGTGATGGATGCTACGGTAATGCATAGATGGATTGTACATAATCTCTTTAATGTCTGTTGTATCAAAGGGTGCGGGAAGGACAAGCAAGCAAGCAAGCATAGTGGTCGGATGGCATGATATCAATCGCTTTTAGCGTTGGAGTGAGGTGTTTGATTTCTGGTGTGAGGGACTTGCCTACGAGCAAGGTTGAGATGGCAATGAGAAAGGTGGCTTGGTTGTATACCCCCTTGTTTCATCATTATATTCAAGAGATCGTATTTGCCTCATACTTTGAGCTGTGATCTGTGTCTCTCTTCGATCATTTGGACTTTCATCACCCTTGACCTCGATATCCAATATCTTCCGAACGCCGAACGCCGAACGCAATGCCATGTCGTAATAGAACAAACATCCTAATGCCTCTCGTGAATGAAATTCGTTCCTTCATTCCCGTCTTTCGCCAGCGATTCAGATCAGGATCCAATTCCTCCACCATGGCTCCTGACCTCTTCCTTCTCCAATTTGGGAGTTTCCCGGCTCAGCAACGACCGCAGTTCAGGTGTAATAATCTTGTCCTTCTTGACAGCTTCTTCGGCTTCCCGTCTTGCAGCAGCTTGTTGTGCTGGAGTCTGCTGTCTCGACGAGCTCTCGGCTGCGCTTGAAGTAGTTCTTCTGGGTCTACCGTCACTTCCGGGTCTAGTCGTAGTAGGGCTTGGAGGTTGTGGCAGTGCGACTCTTTGTCTGATTTCTGGCGCTTGAGGGAAATTGTTCTTGCGATCGATTGCTTCCACCATCCTCCTATACCTTTTGAACAGACTTTCGGCTCTAACGAGGGTGCTGTAGAGGTCGATGGTGCCTGAGAGCTCATTGATGTATTTGAGAACTTCGTCAAAACCTTTGAGATGTTCCATGATGACATTCCTGTGCTTCTCGAGAATGGCGGCTGCGATGAAGAGGTGGAAGTTGGAGCTGAGATAGTCTGTCCATAGGCCTTCCCAAAGTCGGCAGATTGGCTCGAATTCGAATTCACGCTTGAACCAGACCAGGAGCATTCGGAAGAAGTAGAAGAAGTTTGTGCTGTCGACCCGAGCCAGATGTTCATACAATTTTGGATCGATGAGCTGGATGAGCTGGTCGAGTGTGGACAATTGTAGTCGCATGCCGGACTGATCTCGTAGGAAGTTCCGTTCCATTCTGTCCATGAACTTCACGAATCCCCAGAAAGCGACAGCGTCGTCTTGCTGAATGGCATAAACGGGTGCGAGCAGATCGGACATGCCTTGGACATAGCCAAGGTCTCGATTGTACTCGTTGTATGTCAACAGCATGTCCTTCATCTGCTCGAGGTGCACATTCGTGCCTGATTCCGCAAAGGGTGAATCTGGATCGGGATGTGGGATATCCTCGCCAGCGAAGAGCGGAAGGTGGCGATCGGTTCGGTGAACATCCTTTTCTATAGCGCCACGAATGGCTCGGTCAGTATGTTGATCAGCAGCAGTGTTAGCTGTGAGGTTGGAGTTAGGCTTACCGATTCGCATCTTCTGCTCCTTCCACCATGCTCGCTCCTCAAGAGTGCCAGACTCATCGACTACTCGCTCCCACCATGAAGCCTTCAGACGAATATATTCATCTCGCAAGCTGTTCAGCTTGGCGTGTCTTTCTTCGCCCGTGCTGTCCCATTCGTATACTCCAAGCAAAAAGAGCCATGCCTCTTTTCTGACGCCATCGTTTTCTGCAAGACCACCATGGAAAATGCGTTCCTTCACTTCTTCAGAGGTCTTCTCTAACCTGCCTGTACGAAAGTTGAACCAGCTGTTCCACTCGTTCCGGTCCACTGGTTTCCTTTTATCTGCAAGCGCCAATCCTTCTTGCGCATCTAGCAATTCGAATTCTCCAAGTTCGCCATCCTCCATTTCCAGAACGTCTTTTGCTGTCCATATTCGTTGATTGCGCTCCCTATCAGATTGCTCGGCAATGCTCATTGCCCATCGGGCCAGATACAGCCTTGCCGAGTCAAACTCATCCGAGACCGTCTGGATTTGTGGGTTCTGCATCAAGCGTCTGACTTGTGGCGGAAGATTCTTGTTCTCTGCTACCGACTGTGCCGTTCTGCGGGTGAATGTCGTAACCTTTGCCATGCTCTCCAAGAAGCCCCATCTGACCTGTTTCAGGACGGTCGCAATTGGTGTTTCACCATGGCTTCTGTTCGTTGCATGAGATGGCTCGTCCTTGTGCTTGCCTTCTAACACATTCTTGACTTTATCGGGTGTAGGCTTGCCTCCGCTCCCGAAGTTCAACTTGTCATCGTCGCTCGGTTCGATCAGGTATATATTAGGTTCCTGCGTGGACCGCTCCACGTTGACGTGCTTCTTCAACCATTCCATGACTTGGTCGCCGCCCCAGAACATGTGCCCATCAGAACCACTGATGCTGAAGTTCTCTCGCTGCAGCTTCTTACGCTGAGAGATGGTGCTCTGGCATTCGGAGTCGTGGAAGAACAAAGCCGGGAAGCTGTCGCCGGCCCTGGAGTTGATGATTATGCTGCCAAGCCACCAGCCCGTGCTCGGAGGACGGACAGTTATGCTGAATATATCACTCACTTGAATGGCAAAGGCATGCGTGGCCAGGCTTGAGCTGTGCGTTGTCACAACAGGCGGTCGCGGTACGAGGTTACTCTGCTTTGGCGGCGAGTCAGTGTCTCCCATGGCCATCTCCACCGTGGTGTATTTCTCAATCGCATCCCCGATGCTGCTCTCAGGCACCCAAGCTAGCAGCAAATCTGATCTCGACCTTGGTATCGCACTGCTGCTGCCAGAAGAGGTCGGCCTGCCCTCGAGATGCGGCTTCTGCTGGACAAGGGCAATCCATCCTGGCACGTTGTCCTTTGCGCTGGGCGTTGGATGCACGTAGACCTTGCTCTTGCAGTACCATAGCTTGACTCCTTTCTCGCTCTTGCTGTGTCTCACGGTGTTGTACTCGCTCTCCATCTCATCATCGGCCAAGTAGAAGCTGGCCGAGGGCGAAGGCGGCGACGGGGGATCGGCTGCAGCGTCTGTTGCTGCCAGAGGTGGTGTGGAAGGCATGACGGAGGGTTTCGTGCAGACAGCCTTGCCTTCCGCTGTGAATGTGTTGCGCTGGCCTCAGGATCGATCACATGCTGAGTGAGGTACTCGGTCATGTGTTGCCAGGGCAGGCGAAGGCGTCGAGTCTTTGTAGCCACAGCCACAGCTTGGAATAATGGGCATTATGGGGAACAGAAGGAGGAGGACCCTCGGACGCGGGGCAGTGCAGTGCAGTGCAGCGCATGACGATGACGTCCAGGCATCCATTTAATGCTACAGTACAACCAGTCGGAATACAGCTTTACAGTGGAGTGCAGAGAGACCTTGAGGCATTCAACCGATGTACACACTCGCTCATAAATCACAACGTCGCTATCAGTCTTGTCCTTCTTTAAAAATCTCCTCCCATGTCGCCATCCTGTCCATCGTCGTAACCCTCCTGGTAAGCTTCATCTTCGCGGTCGCCAATGGCATCTGCGATGAGTGCGCCACCAATGAGACCAGCTCCAACACCGAGCGCTGCTCCCCCCATCGCGCCCATTCCACCTCCACCTCGCCTGGGCGCCTGTTGCCCGCCATAGTATCCGCCTTGGGGAGGGTAGCCACCATAGCCCTGCTGTGGATATCCTCCATATTGCTGCGGAGGAGGATAGCCTCCATGTCCCTGCTGCGCGTATCCTCCTCCATACTGCTGCTGGCCATACTGCTGTGCATAGCCTGGCCTCGATGAAGAAGGAGGAGCCGCACCCAGTTTGTCTTTCAACTTGCCAAAAAGTCCGCCCTTGCTCTTAGACCCTCGGTCTCCCTCTTGACCAGGAGCAGGTGACTGCACTCCGTAAGGCGAGCCGTAGTTACTCTGCTGATTTGCCGCACCGCCCTGATAGTAGCTATCCGACGCGCCTCTGCTGCTCTGTTGAGCTCGAGCATCTTCCTCTTGCTGGAGCTGACGCGCAAGCCGCTCGTCCTCGCTGACAGCATGACTCGATCCTGCTCCTCCAGCCGTCCCATTGAAAGGGTTGTTGCTGCCTAGTGCAGGCTTCTCAGGGCCTGTCGACTTACTCTGACTGTGGTCATAGCCTGGCGGAGCACCACCAGGCGGCGCGTCGCCTGACGTTGCATGCGCAGCTTCTGTCGGCTTGTCCCATTGCGATTGTTTGGTGTGCGTGTTCACGTAAAACCACTCTTTGTATTGATCGTTCCAGACCGCTTTCCAGCCCTAGCGTTGTGTAAGTCAGTCGCCGGAATTGCAGGGAAAGCTCGGTTTCATACCTCGGGCACTTTGGGTGGAGGTGGACCGACGGGTGGCGCAAAGTCGGACATGCTTGTGTGTTTAGGTGACTGCAGTGTTGGAGGAAGGAGGAGCAAAGGTATTTATTTAACAAGTACACCTCATACCGTAAGCAACCGTAGCGACGTAAGAAACCTTGCGGCAAAGTGCCTGCTACACAGCCCCGCGCGTCACCGTGGCGATTGGTCGATTGCGACAGGAGGTTTTGATCAGCCTGCCTGCCTGGGCCCAAAGCTCTCTATCGACGCCGGGGTCTTTCACTGACCATGATCCGACATCATCATTGCACAGGCTTGGATTGATGGCTCCGAGAAATTGGATCCTACTGCAACAGCATGAATCTCAGCGCAGAGATTCTTAAATGTCTCCTCCACCCTCGAGACCTGTCTACCAATGCAAGCATCGAAGCAGACGGCACCTTGTCTCATGTCCAGGCCAATGCAAGCTCACCCAAACCGGCGACGAGCTGATTCATCGTAGTACCATATTCAGATGCGTGTGCGTTGACCTTGGATTGTGATAGCAGCGCGTTCGCTTGAACCATCGTGTCGATCATGCTGCCTTGCTGAGGAGCTTGAACCTGCGCGAGCATGATTTGGAAAGCATTATCCCGGAAATTGAGCAGAGTCAAAAGGACATGAGCTGCGTGGAGCAACCCTGGAACGCTAAAGCGCGGCAGTATGAGCTGATTGTAAGTACACCAGAGAAGATTTCGTGCATTGCTCGTTCCTCCTGCCATCTGGGCAGACATCAATAATCTCATCGACATGGCTTTCTGTTGCCTGTCATCCCTTCCCTCAACGCCGCAGAACTCCAAAGTGCTCGAGATTATGACCTACTGGCAGAGTGATCTCTCAACTTCTGTATCACTTCGTCGCAGGACTCCATATCCGCAGCGTCTTGTCCAGCCTTCGAGCCCTTCCATATTGAGTCAGGAAGTGCCTTCTCCAGCTCATCCATCCCGGGCTGGAAATTCCTCACTGAACTGCTCAGCGCTCCAATTGCCTTCTTCCTTACGCCCTGATCGACGTCTTCGACCGCCAACTTGGCGAGCGCCGGTATCACGCCAAGACTCAACGCCTTCTCTTGTGCCTTGATGTTGTTTTGTACTGCCGTATTCACACATGCTGCGGCATTCTTTCGCATCTCTGGCTCGGCATTCTCAAGCTGTTTCAGGAGAGGCGCCCATAGTCCCAACGGCCCCATATTGTTTGCGTTGTCGATTTGCTCAATGAGCTGTTCAAGATTGTCCCACGCGACGAGCTTGTTGTCCAGGTCGACTTGGTCCATGGGCGCTACAATCGCATGCATTGCGTCCTTCATGCGATCTGCATCTGACGGTCCTCCGAGCAGTTCTGCAAGCAGTTTCGGATTCAGTCCGCTACTTGGATCACGTCGTTGGTCTGCTGGCTGTGCATTGCGGCTGGAGTCGCTGTTCTCGATGGACCATTTAAGGAGGTCGTTGAGGCCTTGTTGGTCTGCCATGGGTGTGATTTTTTCCTTCGGTGTGACAGATTTCGGTGCTCCGCTATATTCTGTAATATGTGCGCACTTCAGCTGTGATGTCGTGCAGTAGGAAAGCAGAAGCTGAAAAAGCGAAATGTTCACTTCACTTGGGCCAGAAATCTTCGGGTCTAGCCGCTAGCCTTTCGAGCAGATTCTTGCACGTTCCTTGTCAGTCTACGGTGTCGCAAGCGTTGAAGCTGCTTCCAAAGTGGCAGCAATTGAATCTTTTAGCTATAGTAAAATTGTCCGCAGAGGTTGGTTGGGTGGGACGTGCAATGACTTCGTGTCGTTTCAAGCAGTGTCGATAGGCGAAGCTTGAAACGGAGTTGGCTGGTGTTATTCCTAGGAGCATCGCGGGGTACCCAGACCAGAACAAAACGAAGGTGGCGGTCAACCACGCACAACAACAAGCTGGCAGCGCAGCTCAGCTCAGCTTCAGCTCAGCAAAATTTCACAAGCGGCTGTGTGCGTGTGTGTTGTGTGCTGACGAGAGACTACGTGGTGCCGTGCCGTGGCGTGTGAGGCTGATGTTGATGCGGATGCGGATGCGGATGCTGCCATGGATGCCTTTCAGCCTCAAGCGGCGCCAATGATACTGCCTGATTATTGACTTTGTTCATGGTGCCAGGTGGAATTCGCCCGACGACGTGGTCTTGGCGGGCTGTACACGCAAGCAGAGGCGATGTGCGCGACAGCAGACGGACAATCGTCAGCCAGAGGTGCCAGAGAACGAGCAGGCAGCTAGATTTGATACACGACCACCTGCGTGCCTGCACCGGGCCATAATTATCCTGACCTTCACATCCCAATTTGTCGTTGTTTCAACCCTGATTTGATAGCTCCAGCGTCCAGACGTAGCACGACGGGGCCGGAACGCCGTCCACCGTGCGCACTTTCCTACCTTACTCTTACACCGCAACCTCCACTACCCACCCATACTACTACTTTCAACCTCATCCTTGTCCGCGACACACCCGACATCTGCTTTCTGCGAGGCCCATTGAGCACTCCCACACCACCCACACACCCACACACCCACACCGTCAAGCTAAACACCGTCGCCATGGAGGGTAAGTTCGAGCAATTTCTATTGTTGCCTGCCTCGTCCACCCCCAATCCACCCCTACATCGCCCGTTGCCAACCGAGAGGCATTCCGCTGACTTGCCTGCGATATACAGAAGAGGTCGCAGCATTGGTCATTGACAATGGGTAAGAAGGCGCCTTCCACCACCCCGCCGCCGCAGCTCCCTCGTTTCAGCTCCGTTTCGACGTCACAACCAATATCGCCATCCATCAACCAGCGAACCGAGGGCGGCGAAGAGCAGGGCAGGCAGAATCAGGACCGCGATACTGACCGATCTGCAGCTCTGGTATGTGCAAGGCCGGTTTCGCCGGTGATGATGCGCCACGAGCTGTCTTTCGTGAGTACTTCCGCTATCTACGCTGGCCAGCGCCACGGAGCTGACATTGATCTCCAGCATCCATTGTCGGCCGACCACGTCACCATGGGTATGCGATCCTGTCCCGCGCTGGAGCTGGGAAATTCCTAACAAGAGCATAGTATCATGATTGGTATGGGTCAGAAGGACTCCTACGTCGGCGACGAGGCACAGAGCAAGCGTGGCATCCTCACCCTCAGATACCCAATCGAGCACGGTGTTGTCACCAACTGGGACGACATGGAGAAGATTTGGCATCACACTTTCTACAACGAGCTGCGTGTCGCCCCAGAGGAGCACCCAGTCCTGCTCACCGAGGCCCCTATCAACCCAAAGAGCAACCGTGAAAAGATGACACAAATCGTGTTCGAGACCTTCAACGCACCAGCCTTCTACGTCTCCATCCAGGCCGTGCTCTCGCTCTACGCCTCTGGTCGTACAACGGGTATCGTGCTTGACTCCGGTGACGGTGTCACTCACGTTGTCCCAATTTACGAAGGTTTCGCTCTCCCACATGCCATCTCCCGAGTCGACATGGCTGGTCGTGACTTGACCGACTACCTCATGAAGATCTTGGCTGAGCGCGGTTACACTTTCTCCACCACCGCCGAGCGTGAAATTGTCCGCGACATCAAGGAGAAGCTCTGCTACGTTGCCCTTGACTTCGAGCAGGAGATCCAGACCGCCAGCCAGAGCTCCACCCTCGAGAAGTCCTACGAGCTTCCTGACGGCCAGGTCATCACCATTGGCAACGAGCGTTTCCGTGCCCCAGAGGCCCTCTTCCAGCCATCCGTCCTTGGTCTCGAATCTGGTGGTATTCACGTCACTACCTTCAACTCCATCATGAAGTGTGACGTCGACGTCCGTAAGGATCTCTACGGCAACATCGTCATGGTATGTATTGCGTATCCCACCACATGGGTAATTAGCTGACACTTCTCCAGTCTGGTGGTACTACCATGTATCCAGGTATCTCCGACCGTATGCAGAAGGAAATCACCGCGTTGGCCCCATCCAGCATGAAGGTCAAGATCATCGCTCCACCAGAGCGCAAGTACTCTGTCTGGATCGGTGGTTCCATTCTCGCATCCCTCTCGACCTTCCAGCAGATGTGGATCTCAAAGCAAGAGTACGACGAGTCCGGCCCATCCATCGTCCACAGGAAGTGCTTCTAAGCGCAGCGCGGTTGAAGTGCTGGAGTATATCGTACGAGAAGTCGTGGAAAGGGTTGAGGCATACAGCGGAAGGCGTCTACGATTGTCTACGAGCCGGTCGACTGTTGCAAAACAGCAGAGCATGGCGAAGCGCAGTGTTTGGCAGTGGGATTGTTGCAGGATGTCGCGGTAGAATAGCTACTGTCACATATGCTCTGGGAGAGCGATCACTTGCTTGACTAGGTGAAGCATCTGCTACCAGACTACTGTTTTGTTTTGCGCTTGATGTATGGCCTCCCATGGCGAGATGACAAAAGAAATTGAGCACCTGTTGTTTTCCTTATGTTTGAATAGCCTCTGTGGCTACTTAATACCATTCTTCTCCCTGCCTTGGCTGTGCCGACAAGTGTGTGTGCTCGAATTCTCATTGAAAGCTGCCATGCTCGTTATCTGAACACTCTCTAGACTATCCATATCGCCGCTCAACGGTACTCGTGTAGCTGTGCATCGAGTGCCTGCAGATCTTCTCGCATGTGACGTAAAGGAAGTCTATGCTGCCTACATATGTTTTCGAACCAACGATTCATCGCCCCAAGATCAGTCCGACCACAGATAGGTACCTCTTGAGTCATTCTTGCCCCGTCTCACTGTTGACTTTGATGAATGGTGGCTTCCTTCCTGCCGAACGTCTCTAACAGTATCGCTCGACGAACGCTCTCAACAGCAGCATCGCCACTTAGCACTCCAGCAATGGCTTCGACCGAGAAGAACATAGTTGTAATAGGCGGCGGCATCATCGGCTGCACGAGTGCCTACTTCCTCACAAGACATCCCAAATACGATCCGAATAAGCACAAAATCACGCTTTTGGAAGCAAGCAAAATCGCTGGTGGCGCATCAGGCAAGGCTGGCGGGCTTCTAGCCCTATGGGCCTACCCGAGCTCTATAGTGCCGTTGAGCTATCAATTGCATAGAGAGTTGGCAAAAGAGCATGGCGGCGAAGAGAGATGGGGATATCGGACGGTACACTGCGGGCAGGTTGATTGCACAGGCAGACAACTGCCAGAAAGGAAAGAGGCGACAGCCAACGGTGTTGGGGAGGATGTGAGTCTGCAGAAGAACCCGCCAAAGGCTATAGGCAAATATGCTGCGGCGGGAGTCCCAAAGGATCTCGATTGGGTGGCGCCTGACAGTCTACGAGCGTACGAGGAAATGGGAGATCCAACGACTACAGCACAAGTGCATCCTCTGCTCTTCACGACCAGCATGGCAGAGCTTGCAAAAGAGAAAGGAGCAGATGTAAGGGTTGGCGCCAGTGTGAAGAGCATCAACTACTCCTCATCCGGAGATACTGTTGAAAGCGTCACGTATGAGGCGGAGGGTAAAACGAAGACCATACCTACAACCGATGTCGTAATAGCAGCCGGCCCCTGGACGCGAAGTGTATACCCATCGGCCCCCATTGGCGCAATGCGAGCCCACAGCGTCACGATACGACCATCTCGACAAGTTTCTGCATACGCCCTGTTCACCCAGATCAAGCTTCCCTCAAAATTTCCATCGACCAAGAATGCCGGCAACCACTCTGGTCAGATTGTGAGTCCCGAAATCTATGCGCGACCCAAGGACGAAGTCTACGCATGTGGTGAAGGAGATCATGTAGTTCCGCTACCTCCTTCCAGCGAGGAGGTCCAGACGGATCAAGCACGATGTCAGGAGATCATCGATTTCGTTTCAAGCATCAGCGATGAACTAAGAGATGGCGAAGTCACAGCACGTCAAGCTTGCTATCTTCCCTCAGTCAATGGTAGCAGCGCTCCTCTAGTGGGACCGACTGGTGTGAATGGAGAGTGGATGGCCGCCGGCCATACCTGCTGGGGCATACAAAATGGGCCTGGAACTGGGAAGCTCATCTCCGAATGCGTGTTTGATGGTAAGGCATCAAGCGCGAAGGTCCAGGGCCTCGACCCAAGAAACTACCTGGAGAATGTATTGAGGCAGAGCAAATGAACAGGTTGGCTTGACATTGCAATCAGGAGATGGGGAGCGTGAAGATGCTGCGATTTGCCAGCGTTGGCCCGGCTGCTCGTGAGGCACAAGCATCATATGGGAATGCAAGCAGTCACAACCGACGGAGTCGTATCTCAGCCTGTCATTCATGGTTGGGTGTTCTTTTCGATGTGCTACCACACTCGATGATTGTAACTTGTGAGAACCTGGGGCAGCAAGGTTTCTGCAGCTTGCCCGAAGCTCGGCCAAGACTGAATCCTGCATGAGCTTACATGTCACGTTTGTTTGCACAGCAAGCAGTAAACTCGCCATTATCAGCCTTGGAACTTCTCGGGACCCACCAGCTCAGTACAGCCTGGCATTCCACACAACAGTCCGACAAGACCACCCAAGAGCGCTCACGCTTCAGCATTATGGATGCCGTCCTGTTGAAAATTGCCCAGTTTGAACGTGGACCTGGCGCTGCAATTGCCATATTGAAGGATGGCGAACTCGTTGCAAAGCATACATATGGATTCGCAGATCTTGACCGGCACATTCAGCTAACAACGTTAACCCAGCTACCAATATGCTCGATCTCAAAGCAGATGGTGTGTCTGGTACTGGCCGATCTGATCAAGAATCCGACTGCAGCCATAACAGCGCGAGGCAAGGATATTTCTGAGCTCATGGCCGAGGAATTGCACAACCTTCTTCCTGGCGTCAGCGGCAGTGATCTGGAAGTGGCACATCTATACAACATGCAAAGTGGCATTAGAGACTATTGGGCCATGACCACAATATGGGGCGCGAGACCCGATGGTGCATTTTCTTTGGCCCATGATGCTCCAGAAAGCTTGAAAAGAGTCAAAGCCTTCCATTTCAAGCCGGGCACGGAGTTCTCGTACTCTAATGTCAACTTTCACGTTCTAGCACGTCTGATAGAGAATGTTTCCGGCGTGTCTCTCGGACAACTTCTGGCGGAAAGAGTCTTTATTCCGGCAGGCATGAAGACAGCCCTGCTGTCCGCAAACACGATCGGACATCCTCTTCCCTGCGTTGGCTATGAAGGCGATGAGAAGCATGGATACTTAGCCGCTACGAATCGAATCGAGTGGTCTGGCGATGCAGGTATAGTCGCGAGTCTGGAAGATATGATCGCTTACGAGAAGTACCTGGATCGATCATGGGAAGATTCGAAGAGCAATTATCGTTATATCGCCCAACCGCAAAGCTATAAGGATGGTTCTACTGCAAAGTACGGATTTGGGTTGGGCCACGGAGAGGTTGATGGCAAAATAACCCTTGGCCATGGCGGCGCGTTACGCGGCTACCGTTTGCACAGGATTCACATGCCGGAGGAGAGAATTTCGGTTGTAGCCATGTTCAATCATGAAGTCGATGCAGCTGTTGTGGTAGACTGCATCCTCAGGCAAGCTCTGCAATTGGAGAAACCCGTGTCAGTCCTCCATGCACCGTCGCCCGAGTGGAATGGTAGCTTCTTGGACGAGGCAACACAACTATTGATTAAAGTCGAGAGCGAGAATGATAAAGAAGTCGTCATTGCCTATGCGGGCCACGAAGAGAAGCCCCAATTGACCGGGCCCAGCACTGCGGAGAGCAAGACGATGCTTGCCAGCATTAATGGCGATACGTTGAACATTGAACGAAAACGGGAGCATCGAATGCTCAAGGCCGCCAGAGTGCCCAAGGTTGAGAGAACAGACTTGGACGGGTCTGTAGAGGAGTGTATTGGTGAATATAGATGTGAAGAGTCGGACAGCATTCTGCGATGCACTGGTGCCGGAGGTGTCCTCTACGGATTCTTTGCTGGATTTCTGGGCCAAGGCCCATTGCACATCATGAGGCCGGTCGCGAAGGACATTTGGCTGTTAGCTGATCCAAGAGGTATGGACGCACCTGCCCCTGGAGACTGGACTGTGGTGTTTGGACGAGGCGAAGATGGGCATATCAAGAGTGTCAGCGTTGGTTGTTGGCTCGCCAGGCGGCTTGGGTTTGTCAAAGTCCCTTCATAGCGCAGTAGAGTAGCGCGAGTATGGCGAGAAGTGCATCTGGCAAGGAGCCCTTCCGAATGCAGTGGTGATGAGGATGCAACATTCGTGCTCGCCGTTGAGTTGACTTCATGTCCAATGTCCATGCTGAATCCTGAGGTTCAAGGTTCCCGGTCGACTGCCGCCAAGACTTGAGGTCAGTGCTTCTCCCCAGTGCTGCCCGCCACCGCCACCGCCGACGTCCTGCGTATTGCTGGCAAGGCCCAGAACGAACACTCCACTGCAACGGCATCAAGTAACATGAATTCTAAAGCTCTGCCTACTGAAGACGGCCTTGAGCCCGGCCAGCGACGGACCAGCCCCTGCAGCAGCCATTGGAAACAGATTACCCTAGCCGTTGCTGCTCTCTGCTTGTTTCTGACTGGGCACAAGACATTTCGACCTGGAAAGCACCAATGCCATCACAAGTCGGATGGCCTGCGTCGATATGCGGGTGAAAAGATATCTTGGAAGCCGTGCGGCGATGTTGCTGGCCGCCCGGTCGAATGCAGTGACATCGACGTGCCGATGGACCAGTTCAATGACACCAATTCGGGCAACAAGACCTTCAGTATTCCTTTGATTCGTGCCCGAGGAAAGGATGCTACGCAGAATCTGCTTCTCAACCCTGGCGGTCCTGGCGGCTCTGGCGTCGAATTTCTCTTCCGGAGAGGAAAGCAGTTATCCGAAATTGTGGGTGAAGGATTCCATCTATTGTCTTTTGACCCAAGAGGCATCAATGGCTCCAAACCACTGGCTTCGTGCTATCCTGATCGGGAGTCACGTAGAAGCCTCTCTGGCGTAAGAGATTTGGAACCAATTCACGACAGCCCGGAAGTGTATGCATGGACGCAGAACTTTGTCAAGGCTTGTGCGGATACGATGGGAGAGCATGGTCTTTACATCAACACGCCACAGACAGCTGCAGACATGAACAACATCCTGGATGCTGTAGGACAAGAGGACATGGTGTACTGGGGCTTCTCATACGGCACTCTTCTCGGACAGACCTACGCTAGCCTGTTTCCAGAGCGGTCCACACGAGTCATCATCGATGGTGTTGTCAACGCTTTCAATTGGTACGGCGATATATTCGACGATGAGTCCTTCACCGATACTGAAAATGTTCTGGAAGGCTTCTTCCGGGAATGTTTCAAAGCCAAGGAAAATTGCAGCCTGTCATCGGTTGCAAAGGATAGTCATCACTTGCGCAAGCTTGTATTCGATTTCTCAGAAGAAATGAAGCAACAGCCCATCAGCGTATACGTCAACAACACAGTCTATGGTCTTCTAGACTACCCAAGTTTGTGGTACAACGGCATCTTTCCTGCCCTTTATAAGCCTGCTTCATGGTGAGTCCTTACGGAGAGAACTTTTCCGATTTCATGTGCTGATATCTTGCAGGTATTCTCTAGCCGAAAATCTTGCAAAGCTTCTCAAGGGCAACGCCACAGGTGCATTCCTTGCCTACGGACGGAGCGCCGCGTGGGACATGGAAGGCGACGCGAATCAATTCGTCAGTCTGAACGATGCGCCTACTGGGCCAGCATATTGGCCCCAAGATCGGGAGACTCTGCTTCAGGAAATCCTCCCAGAGCTGAACAGAAGCATCTTTGCCGCCACTGAAACTGGTAATTACTATGCTAGACAGCAGTGGTCAATACCGACAACGCACAACTTTACACAGCTCCCACACGTCAATACGGCACATCCTTTGCTTGTTCTCTCGACCACATACGATCCGATCTGCCCGTTAATCTCGGCCAAGGCTGCGAGTGCGGCTTTTGAAGGTTCACAAATTGTCGAGGTTGTGGGCTATGGCCATTGCTCAGTCGCTGTGGCATCAACTTGTCTCGCCAAGCACGTGCGTGACTTCCTATACCATGGAACCTTGCCGCATAGCTATACCAAGTGCGAAGTAGACGGACCATACTTTATCAAGCCCGAGGAAGATGGCAAGGTCGTAGCCCAGAGAGTCTTCGAGACTGCCGAAGAGGAAAAGATTCACTTGGCGCAGCTTGAGCTTGCAAGAGATTGGGAATGGCTCATCTAAGCTGGTGGTCTCGTATTGCTGTTGCAATGGCTCAGGTGAGCACTATCCTATGCTGGCGAGCTGTACATTGAGAAAATACTTGGCAGCATCGTTGTCTTTCGTTATTCCTTGCACGGTGTTCGGGGTCATTCGTATATCGAAAAGCATGCTTCATCAGTAGGTACACTCAAGGATAGGTGCTGAGTGATTGATTATACCGCCGACGGGTCCGTGTTTCCGCCTAGGTAGGTTGGAGAACCAAATCTTGCACGAGCGAGTCAAAGGAAAATTCCATGATCAGACACATTCGAAATCGACGGAATGCCACAAAGAGAGCCAGACTTCAATGAGTCGTGCATCACCGTCACAGTCAACTATCACGATTCCGACACCTACGACGACATAGTGGTTCATGAGGCAGACGAACCTGCGCGAGAGAAAATATTGCACTGAGACTTTTTGTCTTTGGGGAAAGAGCACGACGTGCAGTGAAATTGTACGAACTTGGATTGTAAGAAGCAAGACTGCCCGACTGTGAAAATTGAATGCATGACCGAAAATCTAAACCGCGTGTCCTGCTGTGTGCCCGCCGCCCTTCTCGTAGTCCAGATCGTTCGATATGGGCGACACAGGCGAACCTGGTTCTGGTTGCTTGCCAAACGTTTTTCGCTCAGTCTCTGCTCCAGTCGGTGATCCCACCAATGTGCTGTCCCTTTGAGCGCTTTCACTGAATTTCGTATTCTTGTTCGGAGACATCAAAATATCGAAATTCGAGCCGCTCGCTCTTCTCGCCTTCTTCTTCCAAAATGGTGTTCTAAGTAACGCCCACCATGCCGTGAAGACTTCGAATCGGCAGAGGAGGAAGAAGGCCTCGATTCCTACGAAGGCGAGTATGAACAGCGAGGCAACAGCAAAGCTCTCTTTGATGAGGATTGGGCCGGTGTACTGCAGGCATTGATTTTTGTCCTGCGTGCTGATCACACAAACGATCCACGGAATCAGTGAATCCGTGTTGGCGAAAGCCTGGATGGTATATTTGTCGTCGAAGACGATGAACATGACGCAAAAAAATGCTGCAGTGAAGATTGCCAAGATTACGATGGCGAAAGATCGCCATTGTAGAAGTACGACTTGCTTGACTCGTCGCGCTGTCGCTCGAGCAGTGCGTGAACGCGATGAGCTGATGACCGATGGCGACTTATTGCTTGGGTCTCTGCGTTGCTGTAGTGCGGAACTTAAGTAGACCTTAATGCAGTACGCAAATGTGGCAATCTGCAGGAGGAGAGCCAGGCCGCCGAAGCCAAGTAGCCAGCCCCAGTACGTAGCCAGTGATCCGACATTTACATGGCAGTAGCCACCGAATCGAAATGAGACTCCAGCATGCGCAAGCGTGGCTGTGGTGAGAGCGATGATGGTTGACCAAGCGCCGATATTCGCGGCCCAGTAAGACAGTGCGCCTGGAGATATGTTCCAGCAGATTTGTATGTGCATGACGAGCGATCGGACAAGAATCCAGGTAACGTAGGTCATCAGGCCGAAGGCAACGAAAGCGCCGGAGAAAGCGCAAGTGAGGCTGCTGGATTGTCCGTTTGGCGTGATTGGATCGAAACACTGGTCAGGCTGGCGTGCGAGTGGCACGATGAAACCCAATTCGAGGATCATGATTGCGACCAGCAGAATGATATTGAGCCATGACCTCCGTGTGGCAGTGGCTGGGAGCAGTGCGTGTGAGACGAGGAGAAAGGCGCACAAGATGAATCCGGCCACGTTCACCCATGCAGCGCCATCTGTGAGCGACTTGAAATGGTCTGGGTAGGTCCAGTCAAAGACAGGGCATGGTATGCAACATCTCGAAGCATTGCCCGTGACGACGAGCGGATTCGGAGCACAATTTCGACCTTCCTTGACTGAAGATAGTCAATACTGGTGATTTCAAGAATATGTGAAATGGTGGGCCGGGCCCATACGCACATCCACCACTGTAAGGATATAATGACTCGCCGATGAAGGGACCCGGACAACCACCAGCATCAATATTCTGGAGGTTTCCGAACAGTGCTGGCAGATTGGTGCCGGACATGGCTCGGGACGGCGTAGCACTGCAATTGCAGGCGCGGATGAGAGACGTACTGGATTCGACGTCGCTGGGTGGCGAGGAAGCTGGTGTTGCCAGTACAAAGACAAAGAAATCGTGGCTGTGGCAATGGCATCGACGACGGCGTTGCCATGACGCCCTTCTTGAGTCGAACAATGAAGCATGTGGTAGGTCACAAAGCGCTCACTGATCAGGGCCATATGGTACATTCCGATTTCCGAAGCTTGCGTTCCATCGCGGACACGGGTTAGAGGTGAGGAATGTTGAAGTAGGTGTGGTAGGCATTCGACATACACACATGGAAGTTGCCCAGTGATTGTTGAATTGCATATTCATCAAGTGAACATTCGTTAAAGAACTTGAGTGCTGATGAGGAATTGTCATATTCCTTCGGGGAAAGGTCGGCGAGGGTTACTGTAGACCGGAAGTACACCCTCTTCCAAAATTCCGGCAGTATTAGTATACCCTGATGAGGAAGAGCCTCCGCACCCTGCGAACGCTATTTATCTAATAGGAGAAGCAGATTATGCCTGTATCAAGTTACAATCTTCCACTCGGGCGGCGGACGCTAGCATAAGTATGGCCTAGATTGACTGGTACCCTATCAACCCCTACTTAACCTGAACCCTCTCTAGGCTGCCAGTGCTTGAATATTCATTAACGCGTTCGAATCAAATCGGTAGTGATTCTATTCAGTGATTTAATTCCAGGCTCTACGTATGACATTACCTTGCACAGCGCACACATATCCTCGGCCATGTCTGCTGGCGAGCGATGTTGGTATGATTTGCCGTCTTGCATTTGTGTGGCGCCCAATGCGGTAGCTGCTGTCGTTCAGCTGTGCTCTCTCGCGACCGCGACCCCACCTGCCACGCACATGCGAATTTCGAAAGGCGTGCGAAAGGCCTCGGGCGGCGCAAAGTTGTGTTGTTCTGTTCCCCGCCTGACTACTCCGTACCCCGGGTTTCATTCGATCCTCCCCGCCATCTCTCTTGCTGATCAGCCCCACATCGCGTCGTGGCGCGAGCTTCCCTGGAGCCTCGGTCTAGTCATTTGACCGTCTGGGAGTGCAGCAGTGATAATGGACCACCTCAGGCAGCGGTCGCATGTCGTATGCCGTCCTACCGTAGCATTCAAAGCAGCAAGTCACTTCTGCAACACACTGCCATTTATCCGCACATCGTTGACCACATTGCTACCCATCCCATCCCATTCTGAATGTCTTCCAGCAAGCAACGCAGGCAGACCTTGCGCTGCAATACTTCCACTGCCTGAAGCCGCGCCAGAATCCATTCTGCCTGCCTCTCAGCATTCATTCACACCGGACACACTCTCAAGACCATGCCCACACCTACCTTCCTCCGCCGTCCCCCCAGCCAATGCAGCTGGCTTACGGCGAACACGCTCGACACCATGCACCCCAGCGAAGGACTTCCCTCTCGACATGTGCATGCCTGGCGCCAAGCAAGCGAGCTCTACCGTGACGCTCAAATCGCCATCAGCGCCGAAGCTTTTCTGGAGCTGTCCTGGACCATCGAGCAAACGCTCGAAAGCAACATGTGTTTGATCAATGCCGCCATTCTCTTTGCCCAGCTTGGAGAGCCACATATAGCCACCGACATTTTGGATGGCGCTGAGCCGCCCGAGGAATTGGCCGCGCTTGTCATGTTCATTCTCGGCCACGTAGAGGCTCAGCAGAGCCACCATGCTCGAGCACAGCTTTGCTTCAACATCTGTGTCAATAAGCTGAGCGTCGAGAGCGAACGCAAGTTGGACTTCAGACATTGCGGCCTGGACTTCGCGCTGTCGGTAGCCGACTGCCGCTACTATCTCTTCATTATCCGAACCATGAAAGACAGCCTGTCCGACGAACTTGAGAGCCTGGCGAACTTTCCACTCGACACATTATTCAAGCCGCCGAAGCTCCCAGACGACGAGTACAATGCTCCACTGAGCCCAGTCAGCGACGTGTCATCCAGAAGTTCCATTGGAAGTGGCGTGCCGACGCTCACTGACCAAAGCATACCTTCATCGCTCGAAAACGCTCCAACTCCAACATCCACAGAGGCTCGGGATAGTGGCTTATGGTGTATGCCGGCACCTCTGCACAATGTCAAGCAGCAGCAAAGGGCAATCTCTCCCCTGCGATACGGTTTGTTTCCCAGGACGGGCGGTGTCGGCGAGGACCCGGTTCCCGTCTCTCATCTTCTGGATGAAGAAGTGGATGGTCTGCGAAGGATCACGTTAACAGACGGCAATGCGTCACAATGCACCTTCGACACGACCGATGAATGGCTGCACACGATCATCGAAGACAGCGCATTTGACGGACCGCCAATCCTACCTCTAAAGAATCCCAGGCGAAACACAGCAGGCTCTCGAGAGCTACAAACGCCGGGCATTCCCTCAAGTCCGAATACCGCTGTAGACCCAATTCCCGTACCAGCTGTGCCAGTGTCAGGGCTTTCACATCCTGTGGAAAAGCTTGTAGTCTCCTCGCCCCCGAAGCCTGCACCCGAGAGACGCAAGAGCAAGTTTAGGCTGGACAAAATGAGCAACAAGAGGGAGAAGAAGGATGTCGCTCCTCTGCCCCTGCTCATCCGTCCAAGTCTTCCGAGGACTCCCTCGGTCATGAGCAAGATGAGTTGGAAGTCGACGTTTTCGAGAAGACCGCCGGGCGAGGAAAGGACGGGATATGCTTCTCAGTACCAGCGCAGGCTCGAAGCACAGCAAGTGAACTCTTTTGCCGTCTTCTTTGGCGGGTTTGGTAGGATGTGAAGCACTGTCGCTCTTGGTGTGATTCCAGGGCGCATTTCACAGCCTGGCACCTCACATGCCAAATACCCAACCAAGCAGACCAAGTCAGGCGCTGAGCTCAGTGCTTGTGCGTGGTCCGGCAGAATGTGTGGGCGCACGCCAACATTCTGCGGATGATTGAGTCGTCCGTTGCAGGGCAAAGATGGTAGAACCTTGCCTTGGCTGCGAAACGTGCTGCTATCTGGCTACGTCGGCCAGTTTTGTTCAGCATCGCTATGAGTGAACTCCAGCGCAATTCCAGAATGATGCGCATAAGACCGGCGACTTCGATTTTTCTGGTCGGACTCAAGCGGTTGTACGCCGAGACTTGCGGCTGTCGAGCGTGGTATCGCGTTATCGACAGTCTCGAAATGACACTGCTTGCCTTTTCTTAAGCAACGCCCACAGCGGTTCCGATCGTGTCCAATAGAGATGGTCTTTTAGAATGGCGGCAACCGACTGCCTTCACAGTTAGATCTCGGGAAGCTGTCGAGCATTCCCGACTCGCTCGTACTGCACGCTTGGGGAGATGGATCGTATCCCAGTGCAGAGGTACAGTAGAAGCGCGCGAGGACGCGACACTGCCGATCCGGCTCTCATGATGCGACATTTGACTACAATCAATACTCGTATATCGTTTGTCAAATCTGCGCCTCTCTCGTTCCCTCGAAGAGCGAAGTGAAAGATGCCATGTAGAGAGGTAGAGAGGCTTGTCTGGTTTTCTGCGTATGAGTAAGATCGCGACGCGACGCGACGCGACGCGACGCGACCGCGCGGGACCACCGCCACCGCCAGCTCATCCTTGGCAAGAACCCAATCGTCCCGTCCTTCCTCACTTGCAAGCTTCAACTTCAACATTTCAACATTAATCTCGTCGCTTGTTTCCGCCATGAGCAGCGGCAATCGCCTTCGCCCTCGCCTTCGCCTTCGCCTTCGCCTTCGCCTTCGCCTTCGCCTTCGCCTTCGCCTTCGCCTTCGCAGCTTGGTATGAGCCTCAGAGGAACATGAATGGTTGGCGGTCGATCGTCACAGGGATAGATGATTGGGCTGCGACGAAAGCGTTCCACTCCGGGAGCACATCGGATCTGTTGACACTGGACAGTGTAAATGAGCGATAGGTGCAGCGTAAAGGACGAGACGCCCAAGCGAGACACGCCACCGTCCTACACCACCTCCTGTTTCCTTTGCCAAGTCCTACCCGTCCTTCGAGCATTCGCGCGTGGCCGAACACCTGGCCCCAGCCACGCCACGGCAACTCATTTACCCACCGCAATCGTCCCGTCCAGGCTGAATTTCTAAGCAACGAGTTTCGTCGCGCATGCCCAGATGGCGGCGGCGGCGGCGGCGGCGGCGGCGCGTCTCATGCGAGTGCGAAGCTTCGGAGCCCTCCTGTGCCTTGCTCTGGCCAGCACAGCCTTGGCCGACAAGTCCGAAAGCAGCGCATCGACAACCTCGTCAGCTTCGTCACTTGCAACCTATTTGACCTTCAAAGTTCCCGAGCCTATCTCAGCTCCAGGCGTAAACACTTCTTCGGGCTGTGGCAAGGAGCTTGACTCCGGCTTTGAACCTGGAGCTGACACGGCCGGGCCCTTCACCTTCAATACTTCAGATGTGAGAATCTCCAGCGTTCCAGAGAACCGGCGATCGCTTTGAGTTTGTCGCTTGAAATAAGATACTGACGCTGCACTCAGGGCTATGGTCGCAAGTATACCATACACATACCCAAGTACTACCATATCAACAAGGCCTCTCCATTGATATTCGGCTTCCCTGGCAATACGAACACATACAAGGACATTGAAGACCAGACTGACCTCTCCGACGAGTCTATGAACCCATATGCCATCGCAGTATACGTTTCAGGCGTCAATCTCGGCTTTGTGTCGAATCCTGGTTATGGTGCTACCAAAGATGCCACTTTCCCCAAAGTTGACGACATCAGCTTCATGGAAGATTTCATCGAGCATCTGGCAGGCAAATTCTGTATCGACACTGGCCGCATTTGGGCGGTAGGACACAGCAATGGTGGGGGCCTGGTGAATGTCATGGCGTGCGACCCAACGCTGAGCACCAAGATCACAGCGTTTGCCGCCAACTCTGGAGCATTCTACACCAACTTCACCGACGGCGACCCGGAAACGATCGACACTGGGACTACAACGCAGGGTAAATGCTTACCTGCGCGTGGGCATATTCCATTCATCGAGTTTCATGGCACAGACGACGATGTTGTGGAGTATGAAGGTGCGGATGATCATTCCTCTTATGGCATCCGAGTCCTACCAGACATTCAGCATTGGGCCTCGAGCTGGGCAGTACGTGACGGTTACAGTATTGACAATGTCACAAGTCGTCCTGACGATGATGTCAAAGTGTACCAGTAAGTTGACGTCTCAGAGTGATTTGAAAATATCCGACGCGACGGCTGACATTGGCTACTCGCATCCAGGTGGGGCGGTCCGGACAATCTGGGCATTATCACGCATTACAGACTGAATGGCTGGATTCACAGTTATGCTCGAAAGTCCGCCGGCGCACCTATTGATGCAACGCCAATCATCATGGAGTTCTTCTACAACCAGACCAACTTCACAACATCAAGAACCGCGACTTCGACAGGAACGCCCACGTCAACAAGCTCGGCTACTGCATCCTCGACATCGTCTGCTGCTGCCGGAAAGTTTGCAGAGTCTCACATCGCGAGCGTCGTAGCTGGTCTTGCGCTTGCATGGGTGCTGTAGAATGTAAAGCGTACGACAGAGATTGTTAATTGATGGGCGACATTAGCGGATCATAGAGCAGATAGAAATAGACTTCCTCTCTCCAGCTCCTTTTGCTGCTGAAATAAATCTTGTATCATTTGTTCCACTCTGAGAGCACAGCATACCGCAAAGTGAGGGGCCATACACAGCATACACGAATGAGAGCCTTGAGTCTACATGAATGGAGTCTACATGAATGCGCTCACGCCATGCTCAAATTGTCGAAAGACATCAAGAGGAAATCCGTCCGCGAGTGCCCGATAGCCTACTGGACTCATGTGCAGACAATCACCAAGATCGTAGAGTGGGTTGAGCTGAGTCGCATTCCTGGGATTTCTTGCAATCGCATCGAAATCCACGATGGCGTCGAAACCGCCGGCCATGCCAATGCTCTTCCGGATCCAGGTATTGACTTTCAACCTTGTGGCTTCGCGCTCAGGGGTTGCATAAGGTTGCAGAGTCGTATTCATGCATCCGAACGGTGTGATGGTCGCACCAAAGACAGCAATGCCCCGAGCATGGATTCGAGTGATCATCTGCTGATATGCTTGGATGAGCGCGTTGTAGATGGCAGTCTGGTTCGTGGAATCTGAGCCGGCGACGCCAATGTCGTTCACACCCTCAAAGATCAAGGCATATCTGACTCCGGATTGCGCGAGCACATCCCTTTCAATTCGACTCAGTGCTGAAGGTCCAAGGCCGTCGGCTAGGATTCGGTTGCCGCCAGCTGCCTGGTTCGCAATGCTGATCTTTTGCAGCAAATCTCCAAGCATGGATTCACGTTGCAGACGGCTGAACAGTAGGTCGGGCCATCGGCTGTTGCCATTATTGTCTGATCCTCGACCATCAGTAATGCTGTCGCCCACGATTGCTAGAGCTCCGTATTCCGCCGGTTGCCAAGCTTCTAAAGCTGAGATGAAATACCAATGGAAAACGCTGGTGGCAGAAGGATCGGTCATGTTTGAACTCGTCGTGTGATCGCCATGGGCAATCCAGCTCTGAGTTCTCGAGCCAGGATGAGATGTGATTGCGTTGCCCTGCTGGCCATCTGCCAGGTAGATCGTTATCGACAGGACCTGTCCAGCTTTGAGCGCGAAGGCCAAAGGATCAGAGACGGCCAGAGCACCATTTGGGATTGATATGCTTTGATTGCCCGAGAAAGTAAGAGGTCGTACGGTAGTCTTGTTGATACCGCTGGATCCGGTGAAGTTACGCCCTGAATATGCCACCGGCAGAGCTATAGTAGCGGCAGTGATTGGGAGATTTGTCGTGCCAAATGCATTGCTCAGACGCAGACGGATTTGGGAAGCGCCTGTTGAGATTTTGATTGTCTGGCGAATGGAGGAATTTCCAAAGATGGCAGTGCTTCCATTGTACGGTGGTGGAGGGAGATTTGCAGGTTCGGTCAACTGTGGCATACAGGTCCAAGTGTCGACCCAGCAGCCTTTCGGGGGATCTGGATCAAGAGCACTGTTGTGTCGAGCTGCAAGGTGCCATGGGAAAGTGTACGAGGAGGCAGTGTGGACGAGGAAAGTAGTAACAGCGAGGAGGGGGATCACAGACCAGGCCATAGGGATGGTGTAGGCTCGCAGTACGATGTCTCTCTCATCATATTCGACGACGCTGTTGACTAGAATGAACAAACTCTAATATGATCAATTTCAGGAGGCACATGCATTCTGCCGTCTCCCACTGTCGTAGATTATTATTGACTGGCATATGCTGGGAGGCGGCGTCATGAGCACAGCATTTTGGCTAAATGATTAGCTTTTGGTGGGTGCATGGCGGCTGAAATGAAAGGTGTGCATAGAGTCAATGTTCTCAGGTTCAAGATGCGTATAGGCGCACGGCCGCGCATGTCGGCTAGATAAGATATCTAAGCGAGTAGTAATAGCTGGCTAGATGATATAGATGGATGACTATATAGTATGGACTAGCGATGTCCATCCACGAGCCACAAATCTGATTAAACTTACGGATCTAAGTGTTCACTGCGGGTGTTCGAGATTCCACTATGGACCTTACTTCTTGGCTGGCGCTATGCCTATTCCGGTACAGCTGACTAGGCTCTCTCGAATATATGGTGTGCTTAGAGGTTAGTGAGTATTCGAAGAGGTTCCCTCAGTATCTAGCAATTTCCAACCCCTAGCGATTAGTGAACGATACACCCAATCAGTAGGCGCTCTAAGGATACTTCCAGTATATAGAACGACCATATTTGAGTGTAGATTGTATGAGAAATTGGTAGACAAGGACACCGCCGATATTAGGAAGATTATAGCGGTAAGGGAAGCTGGTTTCTCGGCGTGTAGAAGCCGGATTGATATATAGACCATTCTTCTATAGATTCTAGCTCCATACAATCAGTAATCTACGTCATACCTACGCCCATACATAGTCCGCTGCCATCCACACGGTGTACCGCTGTGTAAGTTTGAGAATCCGTATGGCCACCCATCTCTAGTATGGACTAGAGCAGAGCAGAGACAAGCTCAGACGAGGATCTAGTGCTAGTACCAAATGAGACAGGCCCAGACGGGAATAGAAGTAAGCTAGTACGGATGAAGACAGTGGTCTGAAGCTGAAGTTTGGAGGGAGGGCAGAATAAATTTTGAAGTGCATCACCACTTCCACCACCACTTCCACCACCACCACCACCACCACCACCACCACCGCTTCCACCTGACAAGGTGCGCTGAGGGCCAAGGCCAAGGCCAAGGCCCAGATGCTCTCCGAGCACTTGGTCGTCTCGCTCGGCGTGCCTTCAAAGCCGCCGGGCACGAATCTCGCGCCGGACGCAGGCATTTTTGTGCACGAGTACCAGCCGCTGCAGCAACAGCGGGCAGGCTTCACGAAATCAGCAGCGCCTCCGAATGGACTTGCGATCAGCGACACGCACATTTTTGCAGCGCAGCACGACACAGGCGTGGTGCACGTGTACAGTCGCGCTCGGGGCCACCAGGAAGCCGCGGTCGCCTTCAACGAGCGCATCTCGTGCATCGCGCTTGCCTGTCACGATGCCGTGCTCGTTCTCGGCACCCAGCAAGGACGCATCGTGCTGTGGGAGCTGTGCACGGGACGCCAGCTCACCACCAATCAAGCACACCTGCACGCCGTCACCGCCCTCGCCGTCGATGCCCCTTCGAATTTCCTGCTGTCCGCCTCGCACGACGCCACCGTCCACGTGTGGCCACTCCCCGCCTTGCTCTCCTTCGCCACTGCACACATCGCCGAGCCCGAGCCCGAGCCCCTCAGCACCTTCTCCTCCCACCATGCCGCCATCACTGCACTCTCCGTCGGCCACGGCGCATCGCACGCCAACTTTGCCATCTCTTTCTCCCGCGATCGCACCTGCCTCGTCTGGGACTACCGCACAAACCGCATTCTGCGCACATACCTGCTCTCTGGCATTCCTTCGACCGCTGTGCTCGACGCGGCCGATCGCATCGTCTATGTGGGCTACGACGACGGAAATGTGCAGCCCTTAGACTTGTGCGCATCCGCGAGCCGAGACCTCACTGCTGTGCAGGCTGGAACGGATGCCGATGCTGCCGTGCCTGTTCAAGCGTCGCCGAATACCCTCTGGAGCCTTCCGGACGCCTCGTATGGATCTGTAATCAGTATGAGCGCCTCGTATGATGGCACTTCCATCGTCACCGGCCATCAATCCGGCCATCTTCTCACTTGGGATGTTGCTCGGGGCCAGGCAAGTGCCCTGGGGCAGCGGCCTTTTCATGCCCCCATATCCAACCTCATCTTCCTTCCTGTCACTGGATTCAGAGGCCAACACAGCTCAAGCAAGATGATCCGAATCCATGAGATCGTCAAACCAAAGTTTGGTGCATTGAACGCCTCAGATTCCGGCCGCGTTCCCGCGAACTACAACATGCACGTACAACTGTCCACCGATTTGAATGCGCCAATCTCTGCCTTTCGAGAGAATGTCACAGCTCCCACATTTTCGGCAGCACTTCTTGACGACGGCGTACTAGAGCTTGCTTCCTGGCGTAAAAATGGACAGCAAATCAATGCGGAAGCCGAAGCTGGCGAACATGACTTCATGGCGCTCGATGCACCAGCCCAGATCGAAAGGACGACAGAGCAAGAGAATGCAGATCTCAAGGCTCAGTTGAGAGCAATGCAGAACGTGCAGAAGAAAGTGCTCGAGAAGATGACGAAGCTGAGTGACGAAAGGAGGGCGCTACTCAAGAAAGAGCAAAGCCGGGTGGCTAAGAAATCTGCGAATGGGCGGAATGGGTTCAGCAATGAGGACGACGACTCGAGCGACTGAAATCCCGTGTGAGAAGTTAGGGTCCGCGTTGCACGTGAAGATGACACGCCACGCCTTCCGGCCTGGACCATGTCAGCATGCTTGAGCTTTGACGGAAGAGAATCTGCGTTCCCCGAAGCATGCGACGCTCATTATGCCTGATCTACGCTCGTGAGGAAACAAGCCGTATCGCGCAGTGAGAGTGCCCATGCGTCGACCATGCTGAGTTGGTGAAGCCCGTCAAATGGCCCAAGACGCCCAGTGAACGATTCACATAACGTCCTGCGTCAAGCTGCCATTCGTGTCTGTCTAGATACAATACAAGAACAATACTCGCGGCCGTGTCTTTACAGGCAAGACATGATTGGCAGCATGGGTCTACTCCTTTCGCGCAGTGGGAATACCGAGCATCGAAACCCAGTCGACCGATTCTCTGTTCTATGCGTAAGCAGGCCGATGCAGCCTTGAAGGTCATGTGTGAAACACGAGACTCACGTTGACGTATCATCAGAAAGCACAGTCGGAATTGTAGCCGTGGTCGTGCCATCATACACCGTGGTAGTGCTTGTCCGGCGAATTGTCGATGTGCGAGTAGTTCTGCATATCTCATCAGTATCATGCGGAACCAGCCTTGGAGCCTACTCACGTAATATCACCACTGCCGGTTTCAACAGGAGTAGCGTTCTCCACAGTCCGAGTGATGTAGCTCGTCGGCGCAGTGATCACGCCGTCTACAGAGCTCCGATCTGTCGTGACTACCTCGGTCGCATATTCAAATTCCATATCCGTCGACAGCCTGAAGGTCGTGATTGCCTCCGTGATGTTTGCGGCGAACGTCTCCACAATGACTTGACTGGATCCATGAATGGTCGTTGAGATGTTGACTGATGTGGTGCGAGTAGCAGACTCCGTTACAAGCGAAGTGTGCCACACTTCGTACTGACGGATGCATTCTTCGGTCCCGTTGGCGTACGTCGCGCACACCTTGAGAGTGACCTCTTCTGGTGTCGAACCTGCTGTGACGGCTTGCCAAGGCGCGAGATAGTACGTTGTCAAGCGTTGGACGGTGGGCTGTGGTGTGATGGTTGCGACTCCTTCGGAAGTCAGGTTGGGTGTCACTGTGGGCGAGGCCAGCACGTAACCGTACTCCGTGGAGAACGTGATGTCCTGAGCGCAATCGGAGACCGTGTACTTCTGGACCAGTCCGGTAAGGGTCGTGGCGCAGACCATAGTTTGAGTCGGGCTGTAGATGGTTGTACATGTTCCATTGCCGGGTGGGAGCGAAATGGAGTAATTGCGCCATGGAGCGGTCATGGTTGTAGTTGGCAGCGCGGGAGTTACTGGATAGACAGCCTGCGGAGGCAGTTCGCACAGCGTGTATTGCGCGACGTAAGACGTGACCAGTTGGCTTTCTTCTGTGATCGCGATCGCTGCCGCGCCAGGCGAGGGCGTGATATAAGTAAGAATTGGAGCGTCGCTGGTTGCCGCCACCGTCACCGTTGATGTTGGCGAAGCCTGGATCGGCGGTCCGACTTGTCTCCTCTCCAGGACGACAGCTTCATGTTTGTATTGATGATGTAAGTAGCGAGACTGGACGAGGAAAACGAGAGACAGAACGATGAAAGAGAGACGAGTAGCCATGGTGGGCAAAAGGTGATGGTCGTAGTGATGTCCAAGCGAATGTGTGGTGAAATGTCTGTTAGTGGTTGCATCCAGTGCTCGGCCTTCCCTAGATGCAAGATTGAACGGACTGCTCCAAGGTCGTCGTTCAACTCTGTCGTTGCGCCTTGCATTCTTGTTTTGAAACGCACAACAAATACATGGCGCATGGTCCATGGAGGCGGGGACGAGGAATGCTGAATTCGAGCCTCGACATGATGCATATCCCTTGCATGAAGACACCGAGGATCAGCAATGCCAGGCAATGGCATACTGAGGGGCAGCAGCTTAGATCTGGAAATTGTCCTTGCCTCCTGATGTTGAAACTTTTGACTGACTCCCTCGTGGTTAGATCTTCCAATGCTGGCAACCAGGTAGCACAATTGTGGCGTGGGACTTGAGTCACTCTTAAAAAAGAATGAAGACTGACGTGGCTATCAGAAATGGTCGTATCATGGATTTGGAAGCACATTCGAGTGGAGAAGAGGCCTTTCCGTAATGCTATGCAACTTGGAAGCGTAGGGGCAGCATCTTAAGGATAGCCCATTCTATCGCTTGACCGTTCATTCAGTCCCCATGCTTGTGTGCTTCCATCGTGGACTGTCGCCCTCCGCATATCTGTGGAAGTAGTAAGTGAGTCTGGTCTACCATGCCGTGCTGGAGTTCCACTTACCGCGCTTGTATTGGCCTTCAAAGGAACCTCCAGTGCTTCGATGCATGACTGCCGTATTATCCCAGAGTATGACATCTCCTGGACTTTCCCACGGAATCGAAACCACGTATTTGGGCTGACACGCATGTTTATAAAGTGTGTTAATGAGCCTCCTCGACTCTTCCCGGTCGATGCCTTCAACGTGGTGGACGTGAGACGCGATGTACAAGTTCATCCTTTCGCTCGCTTCGTGGCGCTGAATTAACCTATGTCGGCTCATGAAATGGTCTTCTGGATTGATGCCTGGAAGTGCTTCTGGAGCAGCGGCCTTCCTAGAATGATAGAGAGAGTGGCAAGCAACAAAGTCTTTCCCGATCAGCTCATGCTTCAGATCACTTGGCAGGTCTTCAAAGGCAGTCCTGGTGTCAGCGTATTCCGTGGCCCCACCTGTTCCTTGCGGAGGGAGTTCATGTGCTCGAAGAATCGAATATCCGGCTCTTCTTGGATTGAAAGAGCTGTCGACGTGGAATAAAGTGTTGCCCTATTGAATCATTTTAGGCCCAAAGTCACCCAATCTCCGTGGCCGCTTCTCTTACACGATTCATTGCAGCCCTGTGGCTGTCTACTGGAGCAATCGAGCCATCTTCGAGCAGATTGCTTACGTCAAATAACTCGGGGAACGGCAAGCGATGCTTCTTGCCCAACTTGGTGTAGGGACTCACGTCGTCCAGCTCTCCAAATCGTGCCGCGAAGGCGACATGACCAGCATCATCCAGTCCTGTTTGTGGAAATCTCACAACGCCATACTGTCTCTGCTAAGTACTTTCAGAACGACGACATGTCGACTTGCACCTACCTTTGCGATTGCTGCAAGAATCTCGGCGAAGATATCATCTGGAATCTGTTTGCTGAAGTCTATGCCTCTCACTTCAGCCGCAAACCATGGGTGCAGTTCGGTTATCGTAAGTTTGCCTCTTTCTTGTGCGTGCGGCATTGGTGTTAAAGGGTGATAAGACGATAACAAGTTTTGCTCCAGGTAGCATGGTGTCAGGATGTCTCCAAGGGTGAGATCACCTTCTCCTCATTTGTATGCCGGAGCATCAGCCGAGTCGGGCACATGCATCTTGCCGTATAGACACAATCATCGGCGCGACTATTCGTAAATCAGCTCCGGCTATTCATAAATCAACGGACCTAGGGCCGCTCCGGTCTCGGTGAGACCATATTGTTAGTAATCCACATAGAACAACATCGCATAAAGACCTGTAATGCCTATGCTAGCTGCTTAGTAGAATAATAACGTAGGAAAGAAGAATTAAGTAAATAGACGTAGAATTCGATACTATAGCTAATCCTAATTATTCTAGGTATACTACCTACCTAGCAAATAAGGTTCTACGACCCTCGTATTAACGTATAGTTCCTACTATATAATCTTAGTATAATCTAGTATACCTACTAGCGCTATAGGTACTAGTAGAGCCCTTAGAGTAGACGGAGGGACCTATTCTTTCTAAGTAGGTAAATAAGTAGATATAGGGTTTCTATCGTACTGCCTATACTTATAATAGCTAGAGTAGTAGTCTACGTTATCTTTAACGTACTTATACCTCCTATAGGCCGTTTTATATATATAGCCCTTACGTAAACGTTCTCGTAGTACTAGTAGCGGTAGAATAGGCCTCCCTAGCTTAGCCTATCTTATCGCTTCTTACTAGTTAATAGCGGCCTGTCTAGCGGCCTATCTAGCGGCCTGTCTAGCGGTCTGTCTAGCGGCCTATCTAGCGGCCTATTTAATTAGCCTAGGTCTAGTAGCCTTACGCCGAGTCGACCGTATAAGCTGCTTATTAATCCGTTTAAGTAGCTCTAAGGTATAGTAAGTACTAGTCTCGTTACTATTATAATTAGTCCTTAATATTCGCTAGTACTTCTCGAATATACAAATAGTAAGAATGCCGGTTATAGACTCCTTAAGTACTAGCATCTAGTATATATAATTTAAGCTATAAACCCTCTAATAATACTAGATATAATCTAATAGCGTATAACTATTAGACTTTCGCTTCTCGAGCTCGGCGCGTACGAGAGCCCTTCGCTTAGCTACTTTACGTAGAGCGAAGGTACTAATATAGCTAATAACTTCGGTATAGAAGGGGTCGTTAAAGAATACTATTACTAGTCGTATAATCTCGAGTCTAACTATTGCCTTATAGCGGTTAACCTAATAGTAGAAATAGGGTACTATTCGGTTAATAAAGCTATAGATATCGTTCCTATAGGTCGTTAACTATGCCTTAATACTAGTATAGCAACCTTTAATCGGCGACGTTATTATATTGCTAAAATAGCGTATTCTATCGATCTAGTATTTAATATACTATTCTCGATAGATCTACTAAGTATCGGCTACGTATTAAGATAGTATATACTACGCCTCGTTATCTAAGTAGTTACGAGCTAGCTTACTATTACTAGTAGCAATCTTGCCCTCCTTAAGACGCCGACAATTGCTAGTAAACGAGTTAATAGACTAAAAGTCGATAGCAGCGCTAAATAGGTCTATAAAGTCCTATACCGCTTAACTTAATAGCCTACGCCTTATTAATAGATTAGGAGGTCTAGTACTAAGGAAGGCCTTCGTATTAGCTTCTACTACGCGTTTAATATACTAGCGACAGAGCTAAGTGCGTAGGTAAAGCTAGTCGCTTACTAAGGCCTTTATTAATGCCCTATTATAGTTATAGATAACGAGGCGAGGCTCTTCTGTGCCGTATTCCGATAACAACTTCTATATATAGCTAATAGCTACTAAATACTGTTTAGTAGCCTGTCTAGGTATAAATATAAGCGCTAAAGAGAAGGTCTAGTTAAATTAATTAAGTAAGGCGATTACAAGTAGCGGTATACTATAATCGTTAGTCTTATAGGTGCAATCTATAACTATAATATCCGGATAATTCTTATAGATAGTAATTATCTTAGGGTGCGAGAAATACAGCTATTCTAGCCGTTACTTACCGCTTAGTCTAGTGCCGATAGCCTTCTGTACGAAGTAGTTCTATTATAGGAGGTCCTCGATCGTTTTATCTACTACTAACTTACTAGCGAGTCTTAATTTCTTAGCCTTTTACTAGGCAATTAAGATATCTCGTATAGTAGCTAGTACGACTACCGAATTTAGCCCTCCGCTTAAGAAACGAGCCTTAATAGCCGTCTTAATCTATCGATTAGAAGTACTAGCGGCTCGTAGATTAAGTATCTCTTAGACAATCTCCGTAGTACGGTAACGGCGTCGGTAGTTAGCTAGTACTATAGGATTAACGGCTAGATAGTTATAGCTATTACTATTAAATATTATAGTCTATTAGTAGTTACTAGGATTAGTCGAGTCTTTAGCTATTATCGTTACGGACTATAGACAATCGTATAACTTAGAGCGCCCTTTACGCTGCTTTGCTATTAGATTAAGCCGTCTTTGCTCTTCTAATTTATCTCTCTTAGCTTGTTATAGAGCAGGTATTAAATACCTAGTATAGCGACGTTAGAAGGTCTATATAATATAGTCTATATTAAGTTAGTTGCCTTGCTTCTTCGTCTCGAAGCCCTTCTCTAGGGCAAACGTATCTATATACTCTTTAGTATTAATAATACTATTAAATACCTAGTTCTTAGGGTTCTTAATCGTTACGTATAATCTAGGTTCGTAGGCCTTAGTTTCTAAATCGCTCTAGTTACTATATTCGTCGTTATTGCTAAAGTTATAAACTAGTTAAGTCTTAATTTCTAGGAGAGATTGCTATTCTTACTAAGGTTGCTATTCTTACTAAGGCTACTATTCTTACTAACTAACCCCGCTAGTACCGCCTTCGCCGTTATTACTACTACTATTACTACTACTATTACTGCTACTATTACTGCTACTATTACTACTTAGCGATATTAACGGTAGTAGTAATCTCTTACTACGTACGCTACGTAGTATAAAACGAATAGTAGTATAGCCTACCTTATACTAAGCTAGTAAATTATCGAGAAACGGTAGTATTAGGTTTAGTGTCTCGAAACTAGTATCTAGCTTACTAGATAACTAGATATCGAGACTATCGTATCTAGCCTTATACTCGAAGCTAATATACTACTAGTAATACGAGCGCTCGCTTTCTACTATATCTTTCTAGAAGTCTAAGAGAAACTACGTTAAATAGCGGCGATCGATACTATAGAAGTATTCGTAGCCTACTATATCCTTAGGTCTATATACCGTCTCGATCTATAGTTTAAGGCCTTCGAGGTTATCTAGCTTCGGCTCTTATACCGGCCGCGGCCTCTTACTACGTATCTCTTAAAACTAGCGCTTTCTTAGATTATATAGCTTAGGAGATAGAGCGGCGGCGGCGGCGGCGGCCTCGGTTTGTAGCTACGTAAAAGGGCTTAATAATATAGCTAATATTAGATATAGAAGGGCGGCGATAGGATAGCGATAGTAAGGTATATATAATAGCGACGGTAAGGTAGAAAACAGCTATCTAGCGGTAGAGGACATAACTAACAAATTTGCCTTAGGCCTCCTCCGCGATCGGACGACTGATTTATAAATAGCCGGAGCTGATTTACGAATAGTCGCGCCCCACAATCATGCGTGCGTGCGTACGTCGAAACAACAGCTTGCGAGATAAGGATGCAGACAAGAAGAGGGCAACAGCAGCAGTCGATCTACTACTCTGCAACTTAGGTGGCGCGTTGTACTGCCTGTGTGGTCTAACTCGGCTCTGAAGTCCAGCTTCTGACATCCTGTGTCTCGGAAAGCAGCATTGCACTTGGCATTCGATCATGTGCGTCGGTGATCAGTGACGTTCCCGCGGTGTCGTGTGTGGTCCGGACCGACACACTTCCACCTCGCATTAGTTCTAGCAGCGCGGGTGAGTGGTCAATGATGATAATGAATGAGTGAGTGAATGGATGAGGGCCTCCTGCCATATTTGCAACGCCTTACACAGTCCGTCCATCATTCGTCTGCCACTGCCACTGCCACTGCCAGATGTCTTATTACGACGTGCAGGAGGCTCCACAAGGCCACGCGAGATCCAAGCCGTCTGGCTTGCATCGTGCAATAACAAGCCGTCTGCCAGTAATGCATTTTCGAAGCTTCGAAGCTTCCATCGACGCAAAGGACCTGGCTTGTTTGGCAGTCAGCAATTGGCTCGCCATCATCAAAGTTGAAGCTAGAGAAAGCTTTCATCCTGCTGTGCTGTGCCGGGTGGTGACTACTACTGGCCGGAGCGCGACATACTTATCTTCCTCCATACATCCTCTACACACCACACCTTCTTCCCATTGTGCAGAAGGCCGCGGTCATTCTGTCGTCGACCATCCTCAGCTACATCCATCTTTTGGACACTTCTCTCCATTCGCTTTTGGTAGACTTGCCGCCCTACACTGCCATTCAGCTGTACGGGAATCCTCTGGACCGACGAATCGCGAAACTTATCCCAGAACACTGGGAATGGGAGTAGCTGGTCCTGTTGTGTTGATAAGCGACATACCTTCATGCAATCCATCACCGGAGCCACAAGCAACGAACCCCAAAGCAACATCACCAGAGCCTTCTCCTGCCAAAGCGACCAGGCCATCCATATATCCATCGTTGAACATAGACACCAACCATGTCAGACCCACCCCGGCGCAAATCGAGCGTCATTGAATTCCACAATCCCAATGGCACTGTCAGAATCGTAGGCGTCCATGAGCTGAACGCTGCCGACAAGGCCCTGGCTGCAGAGTTTGGCTACAAGCCTGTGTTCAAGAGAGAATTCGGATATCTTTCGACCTTTAGCTTCGCTGTCAGTATCAGCGGCCTTTTCTCCACCGTCGCAACAACTTTCTCATATCCATTGACCGCCGGAGGTTCCGCAGCCGCCGTCTGGTGTTGGTTGATTGCTGGCTCCGGTTGTATGTGCATCGCTTGCGCCGTCTCCGAACTGGTCTCTGCCTACCCGACTTGCGGTGGCTTGTATTGTACGCACGTCGTTACTAACAAGTATTTCCTGTTCCCACCCAGCTTACATACCAACAGATACCGTCTCCCGTTTGGCACCCAAAAATTGGGTTGCATCCATCTCATGGGTGACTGGCTGGCTCAATCTCCTGGGCCAAATCGCTGGTGTCGCCTCGAGTGAATGGGGTGCATCTGCCCTCCTGCTGGCCGCCGTCTCCATCGCTTCCGACTTTACGTATGAGCCGACAGTGGGTCAGACCGTGGGTGTCATGGCAGGCCTGACTGTCGTCACCGGGCTCGTCAACTCGTTGTCAACTTGGTGGATGGGTATGTCAGTCAGTGTGGGTGCTCCGACGAAGACATTTGCTGAAGTGCTCTTCGTTGCGCAGAGAAAATGACAAAGAGCTACGTGATTTTCCACGTCCTGGTCCTCGTCACCTGCTGTATTGCCTTGCTGGCACTGGCTCAGCCCAGCAATGGAACTCCCAAGCACGACGCCAAGTACGTCTTCACCGACATCCACAATGTCTCGGGCTGGACACCGACTGGCTGGTCTTTCTTGTTCGGATTTCTCTCTGTCGCCTGGACGATGACGGATTACGATGCAACTGCGCATATCAGTAAGTGCAGGGAGACAAACTTGATGTGCGCTCCGCATTCAATGCTTACTTCCCTTCCCTACAGCCGAAGAGATCCAGGAACCGGAGATCAAGGCGCCTTGGGCAATTTCGATGGCAATGCTTTTCACCTACCTTGCCGGCTTCCTGTTCAACATCGTCCTTTGCTTCGTGATGGGTGACCCGGACGCCATCCTGGCCTCACCAATTGCCCAGCCGGTGTAAGTTGCAGTCCACGGCCGCAATGCGGAATCTGATCGCTAACTGTACTGTGACGTGCAGCGCGCAAATCTTCGACAATGTCCTCGGAAAGGGCGGCGGCATCACCTTTACCGTCTGCGCCTTCATCATCCTCAAGTTTGTGACCTTCACCGCTATGCAGTCACTTGGCCGCACAGTCTTCGCTTTCAGCCGTGACAGGCTCTTGCCTTTCTCACCAGTGTGGACCAAGGTTCTGCCCTTGACCGGCACACCTGTTCTCGCCGTCTGGATTTCGGTCTTTTGGTGCGTTGCGATTAATCTGATCGGACTGGGATCGTACACTGCCATTGCAGGCGTGTTCAACGTCACGGCCATTGCTCTTGACTGGAGTTATTGCATTCCGATCTTTTGCCGATTGGCGTTTGGACAATTCCAGCCAGGTCCGTGGAATCTGGGCCCGATCTTTGGGCCTTTGACCAGCGCTTGGGCGTGCATTTGGACCTTCTTCGTAACCATCATCTTCATCATGCCGACAATCCGTCCAGTGACTGCAGAGAACATGAACTACGCCATCGTGTACTTGGCCGGCATTTTGTTTTTCTCAACCATTTACTGGTTCAGCCGAGGCCGCAGATTTTACACTGGACCGGTGGTTGAGGCAGAAGTGGCGGACGAGAGCGGATCCCAGGCGAGGAGCAGCGACGATGAAATGTCAAAGTGTCGGAAAGAAATGTCTTGAGTGGTGCTAGAATGAAACAGCATTCTCTTGTAGAGCAGAAGAAACGAGAAAGTGGAAGAAATACGACATAGAGTGTGCAAGCTCGTGCCAGATCTTGCCCAACTCGAACGCTACCTGTCTGTCTTGTATACAGCATGTGTCCCGAGCCCCTGTGTCGATATCGACCGCATGAAACAGCTGGCGCGATGAATTGGCTTCGCTGTTCACTGTTCATAACTGACGACGGTGCTCGACATTCCATCTTTGACTAACAGAAGTAGGTTGACGTATACTAACCAAGAAGTTAAATTCAAAGTAGCTTTAGCACACCTCGAGGGTTCCAAACGACCCCGCAAAGTGCCCTAAAACCACCGAAATTAGTATACAAATCGGGGTATTGCAAACAACCCCTATACAACCTAATAACCTCGGATTTCTACCGTTCCGAATAGCCGTAATCGCTCGAAAACGACTAAGCCTACGCCTATACCTTAGTACTACTGCTTCTGCTGCTTAGAAGCAATAACCTTTCCTTAGATCCGTCGTTTTAGTAGTCTAATTAGTATAGGAGATAGCGTACGAGAGGATTAATCTATCTAATGTGGTTTAGATAGCATATCTACGTATAGCCTTCTATAAGCGCGTTTCGAAGGTATTATAGGCTTACTAATTAAAGGCTTCTAACGACGAGGTTTATAAGAGCTACCTAATAGCTATAGTAGATTAATTAAAGTGTCTTTACTAGGTAATAATATAGGTAATAAATATAGAGCTATAGATAGTACTATAGAAGGTAGCTCTACTATAGAAGGTAGTAGTAGTAGATACGAGGTAGAAATAGCTTACTTAGTGTAGGCAAATCGTCTAGTAAAGACGATAGTAATAGCTATTAATACCTTAATACCTCGTCGTTATTATATTAATTACTTTTACTAGCGTCCTTTAGTAAAGATAGCGGCAATCGACTACTCTTAAGTCGACTAGCTTTAAGTAGTATAGGTTATAGAAGGTCTATATTAGGTAGGCCTTAGAAGAAGTCCTCGTCGCTTATATAAGACATATCGTTATTAGTAAGGTCGGAGAGGTTTATATCGGCGTCGTTACTACTATATATAACGACTAGAGTAAAGTTAACGTTATTAATAATACTATACTTATTAACTAGACCGTAGATAGGCAGCGTACTACTATTAATAATAATAAATAGCCGCCGCGAAGCCTCGTTAGCGGCTAGTAGTACTAGAGTTAGTAGTACTAGAGTTAGTAGTACTAGAGTTAGTAGTACTAGAGTTAGTAGTACTAGAGTTAGTAGTACTAGAATTAGTAGTACTAGAATTAGTAGTACTAGAGTTAGTAGTACTAGAGTTAGTAGTACTAGAGTTAGCGGTACTAGGGGTTGTTTAAAGACTAGTTATTATAATAGCCTATCGTCGACTACTAAGCGCTACTTAGCTTTACGACGAGGTATTAAATAGGCCTACGGAGCGCCCTTATTAAGCTATTCTTATATATAAATGTTTATTACTAATTAAGCTATATCGCCGTAGTACGTTACCTACTAAAGTAAGGCTTTATACTACTATTTATCGTTTAGCTTCGAAGCCTAGCTATTATAGAAGCGGGAGAAGGTCTAGATAATCCCTTCTTATATAGAATAGAAGTATTGCTTTACTATACGGAGCCTATAGATACTAGGTCCTTTATTAAGGTCGATAAGCTATCTAGTAGATCGATAGTTATCGTCGATATAGTTAAGAATTAGCTTGCTATTATACTAGTCTAGATAGATAAGGTCGCTATTAGGTCCTTAGAAGCGACTAATATATAGCCTATAGCGCTATAGAGTTAGACGGCTCGTTCTATCGATATAGAAGCGCTATATATACTTATAAGGAAGATAATAGCTATACTAGAAGTAGTAGAAGCATTTAGTATAAGCAATCTCGTCTATAGTAGGTAGGTATATCCGCTATATAGGCTTGCTATTATTGCGGTCCTTATAAGCCTATATAAGCTTATCGGCTATCTTCTTCTATATAGAAAGCAGCAAATTCTTATAGGATAGATAGTATTCTTCCTTCTAAAGCGGAAGCTAGCTCTAACTATCGATTTAGCTATTTTAAACCGCGCGCTCGCAGATATAGTTATTAAGGTAAATTAGGTATATTACTAAGCCTAGAAATAGTTAGTAAATAGTACAGTTATTAGTAGAAAGAATATAGAAGATAGTCGATAAATCTTAAGCCGTTCTAAGGAATACCGCTATACTAAGAAACATATTTTTATATAGAATTCCGACTATACTATAAGAATAGGAAGAATACGTACCTCTTAAGCTCTATTAGCGCATCTAACGCTTATCTCGGCGCTTTAGGTATGCATAATAGCCCTCTAGTAGTAAAGTTATTCGAATCGCTATTACTAAAAGGGGGTCTCCGAGCTATGCCTAAGTCGCCTATTAATCGCTCTAGAAAGCCGGCTAGTTATTACGGAGGTATTCTAGTTTCTTCTTTGCCTTCTAAGCCTCTAGTTTAATAGCCGCTTGCTTAATAAAGTAATAGTACTCGTCCTACTCTCTAGCGATAAACATAGTATTAGATATAGCCTTAAGCGCCTATAGATACTTCTTAAACCTCCGTTTAAAGGTCTTAATAACGTAGCGTTAGTAAAGCCGCTATTAAATATAGCAATCGCTAAGCGCTTAGTTAATAGTACATTACTTACTAGCTAGTTCGTCTATAATAGACTAAAGTAGTATCTAGTTAGACTGCTTAAAGAGGTCGTTAGGTCCTTTGCTTACGTATATTCGCTAGTAGAAGTATTGTCTTCTGCCGTCGCTATTATAAGAGTAGATTTTAACCTAGAAGTTAGTTTTAGCTATTAAACGAAGGGCTCTTATTACTGCATTAATAAGGTACGCCTACTTATAAGATAGAAGCATATAGCTAGCCGGAAGCTACTCTAGGTACTAATTACGGACGTAGACTGTAAATTATTAAGAGGTAAGCAACTAAGTAGATAGTTTAAAACGAGTTCTCGAAGATAGACTATCTACGAGAGGCGCGAGCGCGCGGAAGAAGTACAAAAGCTAATGCCTTAGGCATCTAAGCAACTATAGTATAGTAGGTTACCCTATAATACTACCCCCCCTTAAGGCGGAGGTAACGAAGCCTATTATAGTATACAAATTAGCGTAGTAGGAGTTGCAAGAAGTGTCTTAGCAGGCCTAATAGCGGTAGTAGTAAATAGTAAGCGCTATACGATATCCTACGGACGATACGAGAGGTAAATAGTACGCTTATAGCTAGAGCCTTAGCTAGGGTCTCGATAAGAGCTATACTAGAGGGCTATACCGGTAAGGTGTTTAATACTTTGGCGGACGGGTTAAGCTAAAGGCGTAATGCGTGCTAAGCGGCGAGGTCCTACTAGGGGTAACTTCTCGACTTCCTTATATAGTATCTATCCTTCTAGCTTCTTCTATCTAGGCGGTAGGCCTATAGCTCGAGGGTTATCGTAATACTAGTTAGCGATAGCATCCTTAGCTATACCCTTTAAATCCTTATACTTATTGTCCGTAAGCGCTCTACTAATCTACTATATAGTATAGCTTACAATCTTCTTAGTACGGCTATTCTTCTATTTGCTTACTACGACTCTATCGACTTCCTACTATAGGGTTATATAGTAGGCTAAAAGGAACCTCCTTGCCTTCTATTACTTTAATCTTATAATCGGTCTCTTTTAATAGCGGAAGTATAGCGGCTAGATAGTGCTTTAATATATTAATATAGGTCTCTCGGATTAGTAGAGGAATCCGCTCGAGTTAGTTAGATTCTATACTATTAGGTAGCTCTTCCTCTTTAAGAAGGTCGGTAGTTAGGTTAGTAGCTATAAGATTACTAATAAATAGGACTCTAGTATTATTAGGGCATTTACTAGGATCGATATAGTTAATATCCTCCTTTCCAGCTATCCTGAAGCGCTATTATTAGCTGCCGAGGTCTATTTTTACAGTATAATGCTTTAGTATAGGATTACTAAGCACTATAGTAGCTCCGTACTAGTAGTAGAGGTTATCTATATTAATAGTATAGCTAGTAAAATCTAGAATCCTCTCGTTATTAATATTATCCTTTAAGACTATATTAATATAGTATACTCTATAGGTCTCGTATCTAGTCTAATTAAAGTAAGCAAGGATAAGTATATTAGCTCGGGGTAATTGCTTTAGATCTAGGTACTTAGTAGTATAGTAATTTATAAGGGTACTAACTAAATTTCCCGGATATAGTATAGCCGTAGTCTTATAGTTGCTATCGTAGGTATCGCTAATAAGGCAGTCTCGTATAATTGCTAGCTATATATTAATAGTCTTACGCCGTACTAGGCTAAAAGTTAGTATAGCGCTTATTCTTTTTTCGAGCGATTAGGAAGGCTAGTTATTATAGGGGTAGGATTCGCTACTATAAGCTTCCTTCGATAGTCGGTAGTAGTACGCTTAATTCGAGCCTAGTCCTTCGGCTTATCGTATGCCCTAAGTAAGTAGCTAGTACTATTACAATAAAAGCACTTAAAGCTAGTTAGTAGTACGCTACTAGATACAAACCGCTTAGTTTATTAGTAGGGGAATCTACCCCTTCCGCGGCCCCTACTACGCTAGGTATTGCCCCCTCGATAGGGCCTAGACCGGTAGTTGCTACGGCCTCGCTAAGGGTCGCTATTATTGTTGTTGCTATCCTTATCGGGCTTATTAGCTCTACCCTAGTAGCTACCTCTTCTACGCTTGCTACTATTGTTATTATTAGGCTAGATCTTCGATTCTAGTCGTTTCTAGGCCTATATAGCCTATTTAGCTTAGTTAAACTCGACTATAAATTCAAGGCGACTATAGTATTATTTAAATATATAGCGGCGGTCTAGTTTAAGAGTAAGTTCCTACCTAAATTTAGGTCGTACTTCTATAATCTATATTAAATTGTCCTTAGGTAGTAGGTCGTCCTTAATAGCCCTAAGTCGGGTTTAGAAGGCTCGAGTAGTCTTATTAGGCTTCTGTTTAGTATAGAGGAACTCTTTATAAGCCTGCTATTGCCTTAAATAGGGGTTGCTAAGCGTGTTTAGTATAGTGTCTTTATAGGTTTGCTAGTCGATTTTAGATAGGTCTTTAAGGGAATTAAAGTAGTTATCCTAGGTTCTCTTAGGGTCGCTGTTAATGTATTATATAGT